TTTTTAGTAGAGACGGGGTCTCGCTCTTGCTCAGGCTGGTTTCGAACTCCTGAGCTCAAACAATTTGCCCGCCTCGGCCTCCCAGAGTGCTAGGATTACAGGTGTGAGCCACCGTGCCCAGCCAGCAAGGATCTTAATGATACAGGAGCTTCTTAAGGTTTAAGTGTTATAAATGAAAAATATCCTTATTACTGGAAAAATTATGCTTTTGTCAAAATAAGCAATAAAAACTAGCATTACTATTTTCCTGCCTGTGTTTTATCTAAGGTAGTGAAGAAATGCCATTTATTTTTTCCAAAATCTCTTTGGAAAAACAATTTCTCTTTTATGAAAGAAAAGTCAGTTACAGTAAGCCACCAATTTTATTACTGTCTGTTCTGGATCTTCTATTTACATATCCCTATCAAATATAAACTCCCTCTATAGCTGTGGAAAGTCCTCTAAATCTGATGGCAAACAACTCAGGCACCTACCTTAACCTCATCTTTGAGGAAAGGAAGTGTAAAGTGTCCATGAAGAAGCCCATTTTTCTCAAAAAACACAACATCCTGCTGGTTGGGTTTATCTTGTGTAGATGCAATCAAACTGCCTGAGGGTCTTAAAGCAAACCCACAGTGTTAGAACAAAAGCTCACCCAACTGGCTTATGAACAAGATAAAATTCAGACAAGAGATTTTTTTTAACAAAAACAAATAAATGAATGAATAAATATCTTTATCTCAGGAAGTTTTAAGTGTCATGTGCCCTCATCTCTTGGCAAGCAGTTGGGAATGCACCTGCCCAGAGGAAAGATACCTTTTCCATATTTTCACAAAAGCTCCATTTGCCCACAAAGCCTTACAGATTTAAATCATACTCAATCGTTTTTAAAAATCAATCGATTAAACCATTCCAAGCATAATGACCTAAAAATTATAACCTATTTATCCTTCAATTATATGACTCCAGCAAATATTCTATACTCAGGCAGGTATTTTTTAAGGCTTTCTCCATTTATTGAAAACATCTTAGTTGCCTCATCTTATTCATATTTGTCTCTAGAGTTTTAATTCAAATACATTTCTCTCTTGCTCTGTCATCCAATATCATACTGGTAAGAAACAAGATGTCTGAAATCTAGAGTCCCACTGCATATAACAGATGCTGCTGAGACAGAGGAAAAATTTCTTCCATCTATAATCGGGGCAGCCACATACAACAGACAAGCTGTGATCGGCACAAGGGTACTGAGCCAAGGAGGTGAATGGAAGGAGAGGGCCTGAATCTAGCCTGCATGTTCCTTGGTAAGCAGATTCCCCTACTCTGGGAACTCGTGCAAAGGAAGGAAGCTCTTTTCCTAGTTTTCACAAAAGCTCCATTGCTCACAGAGCTTTGCAGATTGGGACTAACCTTCTAAGGACCATTTCTGCTCTATACAATGGCTTCAACAGGACCTGCCTATAATGGAAACCTTTTAAGAATTAGGAAAGAAAAATATATGGGGCCCTGGAACAATGAGATCTGTGAAGAAGCCCAGAATCTACTATTCAAGTTGAATCCAGACGGGAAAGGGAAAGGGAAAGGGAAAGGGAAAGGGAAAGGGAAAGGGAAAGGGAAAGGGAAAGGGAAGGAAAGAGGGAGGGGAACGGGGAGGGAGAGCAGGAGAAGAGGGGAAGGGAGGGGAGAAACGAAACTGGTTTACAACCAAATGAAGGAAAGTAAATATCTTTTTGTTTTATATTCAATGGGTACCACCATCTCTACCCCAGTTCCAAGAATTTCTCTGAAGAAAAGTACCCAGGTTTCTTCTCCCACTCACTTCCAAGCCAGGGCTGGTCCTAGTCCTGCCACAGGCTCACTGGTTGACTGCAAAGCAAACTCTCGGTTCCACACTCTGACCTTCCGAGCCCCTGTGCAGTAGGTGGAGTCAAATAAACACACACTTAAAACATTCTGATAAACGCTGTCAAGTCAGAACTTTTCAAACACTTTCCTTATAAATAAAAACTGCCATGATTTTACAAAGCCAATTAGAATAATCTTGTCAAAAATTTGTGTTCACCAGATAGGAGGATGGACCACATGACTTTAAAGGATCTTCTACTTAACTCTAAGCTCATTTAACATCTAAAGCAGCACATCTTCATCTCTTACATGTAATTGATACCCACTCAAAGCAAAACGAAGAAAACTTTCCTGAACTTTAATAAGCTAAAAAAATTTTTTGACTGACTACAATTTATTTCCATACCTGTTTCCGGGCAAACAACACTGACAGCAAAAAACTGTCCATCCCCACGCCAGGTAACTTGTGGTCTATGGTCATCCCAGGGCAAAGCAGACTCGTGCTAAAGAGAGGAAGAAACACCAGTACTAGACAACTCTTACTCTAAGCAGGTAACAGGAGTAACATGCCTTCTCCAAAGTTAAACAAAGTATGGAAAATTACCACTTTCTGAATACTACTGCAGATTCCCTTAAAGTACTACTTTTTAACACCTTTACTGGAATATAATGTACATATCATTAAGTACATGTCATTTGAAGTACACAATTCAATGTTTTTTAAGTGTATTTAAAAAGTTGTGTAACCATCATCACAATCTAAATTTTGAACATTTTCATGACCCCAAAGGAAACTCCATCTGTATTAGCAGTCTCTCCCTCCCTGTCCTGCCCCTCTGCCCTAGGCAACTACTAATTCACTTTGTCTCTATAGATTTGCCTATTCTGGGCATTTCACATAAATAGGATCATATAACATGTGATCTTTATGACTGGCTTCTTTCACTTAACATAATGTTTATGAGGTTTATATATTACACATATCAGTACAGTATTATTTTTTAAATCTAAAATACATGATCTTAGTCCTTCTGTAAAAAAAAAAAAATGACTTAAGAATTAGGGGAACATAAAAACCAAACTATAGAGGATCATCCGAAAGAAGCAAGGTTGTGTCTTATGAATACTTACTCCATTTTTCTGCCCTCTAACAATCCTTTACTGATTCTAATAGATCAACAGTTTTCAGAATTAGACCCACCATGCATATTTTATTCACAACAGTTGTTCTGACATAAAAACTATGTTTATTTTTTAAAGTTTCAAAAATTATTTATCCACTAAAACAAGAGCAGGAACTACCAACTGAGTGCCTACTCTGTGCTGATGCTGTGGTAGCTATTTCATAAATACTATTACCTACAAATCTCAAGCCCTATAAGGAGACTTTATGTCCCCTTTACAGACAAGAATACCGAGGCTCAGAAATGTTAGGAAGTTTGCCAAGGTCTCATGCTACCAAATGTCATGATGATGATGTAAACTATACTTCTGTAAAACTGTGGTTCCCAACCCCTGGGCAGTGGACTGGTACTGGTCTGTGGCCTATTAGGAACTAGGCCACACAGCAAGAGGTAAGCAGCGGGTGAACCAGTAGAGTTTCATCTGTATTTATAGCCACTCCCCATTGCTCACATCACTGCCTGAGCTCCACCTCCTACCAGATCAGCAATGGCATTAGATTCTCAGAGGAGCGCAAAGCCTACTGTAAACTGCGCATGCAAGGGACCTCAGTTGCATGCACCTTACGACAATCTAATGCCTGGATCTGAGGTGGAGTTGAGGTAGTAATGCTAGCACTGCGGAGAAGCTGCAAATACAGATTATCATTAGCAGAAAGGTTTAACTGCAAAGAGACCATAATAAATCCACTGTTTACAGACTCGTATCAAAACCCTACAAGTAGGCCGGGCACGGTGGCTCACGCCTATAATCCTAGTACTCTGGGAGGCCCAGGCGGACGGATTATTTGAGCTCAGGAGTTCGAGACCAGCCTGAGCAAGAGCAAGACCCCGTCTCTACTAAAAATAGAAAGAAATTAATCGGACAACTAAAAATATATAGAAAAAATTAGCCGGGCATGGTGGCGCATGCTTGTAGTCCCAGCTACTTGGGAGGCTGAGGCAGAAGGATTGCTTGAGCCCAGGAGTTTGAGGTTGCTGTGAGCTAGGCTGATGCCACGGCACTCTAGCCCGGGCAACACAGTGAGACTCCGTCTCAAAAAAAAAAAAAAAACCCTACAAGTAAGTGGCAAATGACAATGTAATAATAATAGAAATAAAGTGCACAATAAATATAATGCACTTGAATCATCCTGAAACCATTCCCCTCCACCCCCAAAGTCCGTGGAAAAACTGTCTTCCATAAAACTGGTCCCTGGTGCCAAAAAGGGTGGGGACCACTGCTCTAACAAGATATATGCTGTCCTTAGGCGTACTTGGCAATATGCCAGAGGACAAACAGGGCACATCTTCCTGGGGCACTAATTTTACTCAAGATAGTATTTTTTACTTCATATTTAAAAAATTATTCACATTGTATAATATAAATTTAGATAAAATATAGGGAATTTAAAGAAATTTAATGTGATAGTAGACATTGAAGCTGCTTCTCCAGGTGACCTAAGAGTATGCACTCCTCTGCTGTCAGGGGCTCTCTACATTACAAGACTGGTAAGTGCTGCCTTGAATCATTAAGACACCATTATGTGGTCTTCAGAATTTTCTAATCCAGAAAGGAGGAAAACAAAGAGTTTCATCCAAAAGAAAAAGTCAGAAAAAATATCTAATATACACATATGTAGGAAAAGTATGAGAACATACATGCAAATGATCAATAGTGAATACAGGGTGGCAGCTATCTTTGGGGAGGAAGGGGAGGGATTTCAGGAAGGACTATACAGGGTGTTTCATTTCTGTCTGTGATGTTTTATTTTTTAAACTGGGTGATGGATATTGGTTATAATTATTCACTGCACTGAAAATAAATAACAAAGCAACTTGGCAATAAAAAAGAAAAAAAGATCTTTTTAGAGTGACTCATTTCCTGAGGGTGCTAAACAGTTTTACTAAAGCAGAAGAGAATCGTTCATGATCGCCTCTAACTGGATACCTAAGAGTTCCTGTGGGTGGCAGAACTTCCACTTGTTCCAATCAAGGTTCTTTATCCATCAAACCAACCTTACCATTTGCATCTGAAAGGCTGCTTGCCTGCCTTCTGATCCATGGAACTGTGTCTCCTTCTTGCCCCATCCAACGGTGATAAACTTGCCTACAGAACAATTGGTTGAGAACATGCAAGACAACCAAATGAGCTGCATGAAATGAAATAAAAGCAGTTTCACTGCTATTCTTCATGAAGTCTAAGACCTCTCAATAAATTTAACCAACAGTCAATATTTGAAAAAACTATGTTCCATATTATATGCACCAGTAATTTTGAAGAATCTGAAATGCCCTTAATTATTTTGTTATTTATTCATTTAGTTTACTCCTGGCAAGTTGTGACTTCTCCCTTATTTTGGAAAGCGCTTTACTGCTATCTTATGTATTCCAAATTGCCTTACTGACAACAGTCGGCAATCTCATTCTCATCTTACAAGTAAGAATGAAACAAAGAATTTACACAGTATGTCCAAAACATAAGACCCCAAGACAAGAGCTGGGAATAAAATTCTAATTGTAAGATTTCAATCAACTACATGTATCCAACCTCCCCACTGGTGTTAGAGGGGACTGCAGATCATCAAATCCAGCTCTTCATGTAGACTTAATGGCAGAGCCCCAAACTAGAACACAGGGCTTCTCCCTTCCAGACTGACCGGGGTTCTTTCTAAATCATAATGCTTCTCTTACACAAAACATAAAGGCCGCGCTGCTGAAACAACACAACCCTTCTCTTCCTGGAGGTAAGATCTGGCATGCATCTGTAAGAGGTACCATGAAGAGGGTCCTGAAAACATCAGCCAAATCCAGGACCCAATTCTTCCCTCCTGCCATTGATTCTGACCCTGATGAAGCAGGGCTATAATCATTTTTATAAATTATGGGTTAGTATGATCATTTCCTGTTTGCTTACAACCAAGCACTATAATCCTCAAAACACACCTTGCCGCTGTGTACAAATAGCAGTGCCTATCTTGCTGCACATCCCCAGGTTTCTACCTGCAATTTTCCACAGAGGCAAAGGATCAAGAAGTGAAGCAAGAAAACTTCTCCAAGGAGATCAGACAATAAGTGATGGGGTTACAGCAGGAATCTGTCAACTACAGCCTATATCTGCTTTTACAAACAAACTTTTATTGGAACACAGGCATGCTTATGTATTGTCTATAACTGCTTTCACACTGCAACAGCAAAACTGAGTAGTTATAACAGAGACCGTACAGCCTGCAAAGCCAAAAATATTTACTACCAAGCCCTTTCCAGAACAAGTTTGTTGACCCCTGGATCAGAGGAAAAATACTCATCACTCCATAGAGTAATTTTTTTGTACTGATAAATGATTTCTAAGGCCTAACACCCTAACTTTGACTATCTTACCCCTGATTTACTACATTAGGCTTTTTAAGAAAAAGTCAGTGGGAAAAGCCAGGCCCAGAACATTTTCCCATCCCAAGGAGTGCTATGTAGTGGTTACTCTCTCTCTGACTGTCCTCAAAGCCGGATGCCCCAAAGTTCCACCCTAAATCCTAGACTCTTCCAGCACCGTATCTGGTCCCTGAGCAAGTTCATCTGCTCCCAAGATTATAAGAATTTCCTACATTACAATCACTCCCAGTCCATAGCTTTGGCCTCTCCCGAGCTTCAGCCCCTTTTATCTGCCTACTGCACGTAGCAATCCCATATAGCCAGTCAACAAATCCAAAACAGAACTCACCACCTACCCCTTATAAACCAGCACTTCCCCATCTGCCCTCTCTCAGTTACTGGCATCTTTATTCCCATCACCTGGCTGGTGTCTCACTAAACTCTTTCTTCCTCCACCCTATATACCAAAGCCTATTTATTTCACTTTCTAAACTGGTATTTCTTAAACAGGTCTAGGGCAGGAGAGGAACCATGAACATATATTCCAAAGAAGTTTCTCAGATAATTCCAAAAAATGTACTCTCATCCTCACTGAGAATCAAGTTTTTCCTGAATTCATTCCCTCTTCTAGCCCCGCACCTACCTCTCCTCTCTCACCTAGATTCCAGTAGCAACTTCCTACCTGATCATTCTGCCTCTAGTCTTTTACCTCTCCACACACATAAACAAAAAGATACGTAATCAAGAGCCATTTTTCTACTAGAAAAATCTCTTTAAACTTCTCATAATCAACACCTTTAATAAATGATCAACTATAACTCAATGTCCAAATTCCCTACCACAAACTTAATCAAAATCCATCCCATTTATTTCATTCTACACTCATGTCCAGCCACTCCAGCAATGGTGAACTACTCACAGTTCCCTGAGAAATCATGTTTCTATGAAACATCCCTCCCTTGGAATGGACTCATTCACTTGACTAGACTACTCCCCAACCCTCAGCCCTCATCTACACAACACCAATTCAGCTGAGACTCAGCTCAAGACAGCTTCCTCAGGGAAATCTTCCCTCTCCAGTTACTGATTTCCTTCCCTTATGCTACCCGATACCCGTATTATCATGTCATTACTGTACTTACGAGATTCCCTAAGAGAAAAATCTAACTACTTAACTATTTTTTAATTATCCATAGCACCAAACACACTGTTGAGTTCACAGTACCTACTCAAAATTATTTCTGAACAAATAATTTTCAAATAAATAAACGAGTAGCAGTTTTCTAAATGATATCTCAGAGTTGGTGGAGCAAGAAGACATGAAGTTAGGCCTCAGCGAAAGTTGAAATACCTTCTCCTCCATGCCTTCTTCAATCAGGCCAGCCATCTGGTGTCTTCAAGTTGGCCAGAGTTTATACTCAATAAGCGTCTCCCCTCTCCTCCCTCTTCAATATTCCCAACAGCATAAACGCCCAAATGACCTTGGCTAGATCTTAGCAAGAAAACAATCTGATTGTTCCCATGAAAATGCAGATTCAGATCTAATCAGTATTAACAAAAATCAGCCTTCTATCCCGCCTCTGTTGTTCTCTTCTCCCCAAAACTGCACTCCAGAAATGTTCTCTTTATTCTAGCTTATACAATCCCTTTCATTAAAACCCCAACCTAAGCGTTTCCTAGGGTTTGGGAAACAACTACCCAGGTGACCTCAAGCACAGATTTCTATTTTCCAGGTTACTGACAAAGCCAGCTGCCTCAGACCTAGAGAGGCACCAGAGATACACGCCTTTTAAAATCTGGGATGGGCTAAAGGAACTGGGCTAACAAACATTCAGTAAATGGGGGTTTAAATTTCACAGTTCTTTAAGTGTATGATGTGGCTAGCAGTGCACAAGAAAAATGATCAAAAGTGGGAAGGAACTTAAGGTAACAAAATGTTCAAACAAAGATATACTCACTTTCTCCAAAATCATCCTGGTGGATCTGCTGCTCCATGATTGGTTCAAAGTCTTTTGTCATCATAATCAGGGTCTGTTGACCTTAGAGGGGCACAAACAAGAATGTTGTTGTTTTCATGTAACGAATTTGCCATTCCATTAATATCTATGGCACTATAAGCTACAGAGCTGAAGTGAAGAAATCAGGGCAGAAAGAATTCACTCAAAATGCTATAACTCAAAAAAAAAAAATAAAAGCTTTGCCTGGATAAGTCACCTAGTGCTTATTTTCAGCTATTTAAGTGTGTAAAGTTGAACATAAAAGTCCACAAGCCCTCCTCCATCACCTTCGATACCTAGTTTCCATCCAAGACATCTCTGCAAATATATACGTCATCAGTAGTGCTCGTTTACTGAACTCATCTGGATTGAAGAGACTTAAAGGAAAAAAATAGGAATGCAAGAGGGGCTTTTAGAATCTGCTTATATAACAACTCTTAGAGTAGGTTAAAATAAATATTGCTGACATTTTTAACTATAACTGTGGACTTAGCAGCATCCTCAGGTTTTATGACTTTGTTTCCCACTTGTAAAGACTGAAAAAGAAACAACTTTTTATAAAATATACTAAGAGGTAAAACTTAAGTCAGAAAAAAACACATTCACTTTACTGTTCGTAATACTGGTATCATTATTCAAAGAAATTTTTTAAAACGTAAGCACTCCAAAACTGAAGCCTATAAGATATTTGGAGTAATGTTTGCAGTAATAAGTCGGTTAGGCACCAGTGACAAGCTTACCTGTGGCAAGAAGCACCAGCTCTTGGTCAGGACTCCAACTCATGACAGAGATACCACTGGCTACACTCCCAACACATTCCAGCTGAGACAGAGAAAATTGAAAAGGGGGACCCAAAACACCAGTATCTCAGTAAAAATTTACTATAATCTCAATCAAAACAAATATACAAATGTGAATTTATTTAACAAATACATCTTCAGTAACAGGTATCAAGAGACTAAACCTGTTATTAGGCAAAGGGATGAGAAATGGACATCCCATTCTTCCCAGAGCTGTCTCATGAAAGAGATAAAAAGACAATTCTACAGAGGATTACAGCTTTAACCAAGATCTTTGGGAAGCAAAGCAGGTCTCACTGCAGGAAATGACAAGTGGCCCAGGAGTGCCCAGGAAAGTTTTTCTGAGGAGGTGTCTCAAAGAGTGGTACCAGGGGAATGAGAGAGAGATCAAGAGGAAAAACAGCACTGAGGCATAAAGCCATAAAAAGAGCAGTTAAAAATCAGCTTCAGTCAGGTGTGGTGGTGTGTGCCTATAGTCCCAGCAACTTGGGAGGCTGAGGCGGAAGAATCATTTAGGCTCAGGAGTTACAGTGAGCTTTGAGTGCACCACTGCACTCCAGCCTGGGCAACAGAGCAAGATCCCACTGGGGAAAAAAAAAAAAATCAGCTGCAACGAGAGCATAAGGTATACATATATACAGGAATAATGCGGGGATGAAGCTAAAAAGGCATTTGGGGAACAGATAGTGAGTGAAAAGGTCTCACTAAGGCACAATAAGAAACCTGGACTCTATCTTCCAGACAATGGAGAAGCCACAAAGGGGCAAGATCAGCACCATTTGATGAGATAATGAACTGGAGGAGCTCAGTCATCAGGAAAAAATTCTACAGAATGTTTGGGAAGTAAAAGCATATCTTTTAAATATAAGAAATACGAATTGAGTAGTATGTGATGGCTTTGACTTTTCTCACCATGAACTAAGAGTAAGGTTTATTATTGTATTAAATGGAATGGTTTAAAGCAAAGGTGCCAGATTTAGACTTCCAGGGTTCAAACCCCACCTGATTACTGTGTGACTGTGGCTTAGTTACTTAAGCACTCTGTGCCTTAATTTCCTTTTCCGAAGAATGGGAAACAACAATCTACTTCCTAAGGTCATAGTGAAGATTAAATAAATTTGCATGAAAAGCACTTGAAAAAGTGCCTGCACATTGTAAACATTTAATAAATGTAAGCTACTGTTATTATCCTACCATCAGTAATACTATAACTCCTGTGACATAATCAATGTTAAAGATCACAACCAATGGAGTAATCAAACATTTAAAAAGAATCAAACAATTGTAATTTGAAACCCTGGCTGTTAAGAAGGTGAGGATGAGAATCCAAAAACTCGAACTTAAGCTAGAGTAGAGAAAGAAGCAATTGGCTGAAATCTATGTCTCCTGTCAGTCTTAAAATATGCATGTAATGATAATGTATTACTTTACTGCCTATAGTTAAGGGACTCTAAAGTTAGCCAATCAACATCCATAACTAAAAACATAAGCCATACAAACATTTCAAAGACTTTCTAAATTGAAAAATAAAGGCTACAACTCTGGATGAGATTCTGATAAGAAGTGATTTACGCCACACAAGAATGGCCAGTTTTTATATTTTAAATAGCCCTCATTTGGAATGTTCTAATTCTTCTAATTAATAAATGCAGTAGACAACATTGAGTTTTAGAAGAATCCTGAATCACTTCTCAGCCTTTAGGCTAAGATCAAGTGTAGAAGAATCTTAAAGCCATGCCAACAATTTTTTTTTTTTCGGACATAAGGACTCACTCTGCTGCCCAAGCTAGAGTGCAGTGACGCCATCGTAGCTCACTGCAACCTCAAACTCCTAGGCTCAAGTGATCTCCTACCTCAGCCTCCTGGAACTACAGGTGTGGACCACCATGCCCAGCTAACTTTGCTATTTTTTTGTAGAGGTGGGATCTCACTATGTTTCTCAGGTTGGCCTCGAACTCCTGACCTCAAGGAATCCTCCTGTGTTGGCCTCCCAAAGTGCTAGGATTACAAGCATGAGCCACCACACCTAGTCCAACAACTTTTTTATAAAGAAATATATAATACAAAGACTGTAATTTGCAAAAGCTTAAACATTATTGCTACTGATTTGAAAACATCCACAAAAACAAGTGATCTATTTGAAGATGCTTGAGACTTCCTCCTCACTGGACTCTTCTACTTACCTGGTGTGTGCTAAGACTGCAGAGTATGACATCTCCAGAGGCTGTGGCCACACATACAGACTCCTGATCTAGCAAGTCCTGTATACCAACAATGCAGCCACTTCCATCCTCTGGGAGAAAGCCTTCTGCCACCAAAGAAATTTCATGTTTCACCTTTCACCAAAGGAAACACA